AAAATTTTTGGAATAATTACAAAAACCATCAACCACCCAATGTTTGACAAGTGGAAGAGTCATTGGTGGAATCCAAATTTGAGAAATTAAAGCTTAAATAAATGGAGAAATTCCTCATGCACAATGATTTTCATTTCTTAAAATTTATTTTTCACAAGTTCGTAGCAAGAAGAAACCTAGAACATAAGAACCAAAAAGTTGACTTTTGGTGAGTAACGTATTTTGAAATTTTAGAACTTTATCTACGAAATTCGTACTTCGTTGTTCATATGTTCAAGAAAAAAGTAAGCTACTGAAAAAGTTGAGAGGAGATAATCACTCAATCACCCAAATCAAGAGCGAAGAATTCGTAGAGATTTTTCCAGAACTCCAGTCCAGCCTACCCGATATAATCTAGAATAACTTGGAATTTGATTTTCAATTTTGGGAAGGTCAAGAATCGAGAGCCTAAATACACCCAAATAAGTAAGTAATCATACGTTTAAAGGCTTTTTGACACTTTCTTACTATTTTGGACGGTTTTGGAGCCGTTTTTTTTTACGTATTTCAAAGTGTTTGAGGTTAATATAGCTACTTTTTAACCCATTTAAAGAATTTAGAATTAAATGAAGTAGTTTTGGACTATATAGGTGGAGTTGGATTTCCAAAATCAAGTCCAGACTAGTACCAAGAATATTTTATTACTATGCCAATAAGGACAAGCCCGAGATCATTGTCTAGATATCTTAGGATTGAAGTTTAGGATTGAAGATAAATATAGACGATTACAAATATGTGGTTCACACTGTCTAACCTCCGTTATAAATGTCCCTCCAACCCACCAAGTTTTTCATCCCAAGAAGAATAAAGTTCAGTAGTCTACTCCATAATGTCTTGTAATCTCTTATTAATTAGTCTTAATAAGGGTGTGAGTGTTTCCCAAAACAAAGTTGTATTCATCACGAAGTTGTTTCTTTAGGCACCAAGAGAATGTCGTCTAGCAGACATTTTTAAAGAAGAAACAATGTGTAGTTGGTCTAGACCCATATAAAAACTTAAACTTGTAAGCTCCCTTGATTTGGCGAGACAATGTAGAAGGTTTGTTCAAATATTTCGAGTTTAACCCAATCAACTCACATGAGTATAACTTGTACTTATAACAAAGAATTACGAGAATAACTTTGAAAAGTTACCGAATTAGTGGACCTCACCCTAATGGTAAGATGTTTCACGAAGATACATGAAGGCTAGTTAAGGAAAAGTAAACTTCAAATTCACGGTTCATTAAGTTAAATAAGCAGTTCGAAGATGGAGTAGAACCGAATGAGAATGTAATTTTGGAGAGTGAAAAAGAAGAGGTAAAAAAGAAAAAAATTGACTGAGACGGCTAAGCGCCTGCACAGTGCAACTGAGGCACCGCCTACCATCGACATTTCTTACGGCCCTTACGCCATTCGCCCCCTTATCTCTCTTTGTCTGCGTCTTTTAATTTTGGTTTTTGAAAATTAAAAAATAGGAAAGTAAAATGCAGTAGAAATTTGAATAAATTGTGGAGGTAGGTAAAAAAGAAATAGAGGGTCATTTATTTTTTGTGTTCTCCCATCTCTTTCAATTGCTAATTTTGGAGAGAAATAATATGAGAAAGGATGGCATAGGGAAGATGATAATATTATGATATATGCTATGCCCCTACCCTACACAAACACTACTAATTACTCTCCTTTTTCATTCCCCATTATCCATTCATTTTTTTTACTTTTTACTCATCTTTAAATTTTTAACTTCTCCCAACCAAAGTTTAAACCTTGTGTTTACATGATCGATCCGACACAAATTTATGTTCAAACATGTATGTTTCACCCGTGAGAATTAAGAAAATTTTTAATAATCTATGAAATAAATAAATAATTTTATTATTTATTGTCCATCGTGTCAAAGTAGATGAAGATACAACAATGTTAAACAATTATTTAAAGTGTCATTGTTTTTATCTTAAAAACAAAATTATTTTGAAAAAAAGTGGGACATTGTAAATACTCAATAATTATATTGATGTTGGAGTCGAAAAATGCAAGCATATGTAATTTTGCTGGATGTCTACCGTCTAGACTTAACTTTTATTAACCTTTCCTTTATATTTGGCATATCACTCTGATTACATAGATGGATCATATTGTCGCTCTTCCTCCTAGTCATATCGCTAAGTTTCAACGTAAATAATTATGACCTTATTCACAAAACAAAGAGAGTTTGTAATGCTCGAGTTCGATGCTGTGTAAGTTTCTAAATTTCTAGTGACACGTGGAAGAGAGAGAAATGAGTGAAAATAAAAGAAACAAGAAATTAAGGTTTAAAGAGGAAGAAGAAGTAAGAAACAGAAGTCGTTCAAACCAGCACTTAGCATTCGATATTGGCCAAGGAGCATTTGGATCGTTCGGTTTCGTCGAGAAACAAAAAGAACGAATGTAAGTTGCACGGTTTTTTATTTCAGTTTTTCTATAGATTCAAGCAATTCTTGTGGTATGAAGAAATTTGGCGGAGATTCAACCGAAAAATTGTTGTCTTAGGAAGTTCCAAGATAGGGTAAGAACATAAAATTTTGAAGTTTGAATGTGATTATTTTAATGTTCGATGGGTAAAAATATAAGAAAAATACTTTATCTCTACGACTTTGGTAAAGAAATTAATTTGATCCCGAGTTCATTGCAAGAAGACACAAAATTAAGAAGAAAATGATTTAAAATTAGTATTCATCAAATTCTGAGTTTCACATTGTAACGACTCTAGATTTCTACTTATCTAGAGTCGTTACTGTCATCATGACGTAATCATTTTTGTGCAGAAATAAGCGTTAAACATAAACTTCATCTTAAAACACTACCATAGACTTACGTGATCGAAAACATCTTTAAAACAATGCAAGTCTAATAAAATAAACACAATTACCATATGCATGTGCCATGGTGCTATGTTTTTGCTTGTTTTGACTTTTGCTTGACTATTTTTTTTCTCGATTTCAATACTAACCCAATTTTTGTCTGATACGAATCCTCCTGAAAAATTTAGAATGTTTTTTTTACCTTTTAGCGAGCAATTGAACTCGAGAAGGCATGCGACAACCAAGTACGTAATCTCAGATTTTTGGCTAATCATACTTGTATGGATCGCTTGGAAATACATGCATGCAAGTAATTCCAATCCTAAGTGGATAGATTCAGTATGATTAGGGCCTAGACATGTCGAATAAGCATATGTTGTAGGAATTTCATTAATGTTCCTTGATTACTATTATGATGTGTTTACTACTTACATGTATATAATATGTTGAAAAGAATGATGAAAGTTTTGTGATCTGTGCTCCGAGTGTTTAATGGATGTTATCGCCTCATTCGACATGTGTGACTGATTGCATGTTTTATTGAACATTAGCTCCAGGGGCACGAATGTGTGTTCTCCCTAGTAGAAATAATTTAGCTATTTGAGATAGGACTAAGGCGTAGAGACAGATTGGCTAGACAATGTCATCGGAACCAGACGATTCCAACAAACTGAACATCTTAGAGTCGTGAACGGCGATAAACATGCTAGTACACTAGTGCTCTCAGACCAAGAAAGTCTCAAGGAGACGGAACAAAAAAACTTGGACAGGAGAGAATTTGCTTAGTGTCACCAAGTCGCCCCCAGTAACTTAAAGGACCACAACCGCAAATCAGAAAGACTAAGGTAGCATTCAGGTCGTTAGCAGTGGTTACGGTGTTAACAGAGCTTCTGCTTCCCTTCCTACTCCGGTACCAGTACCATCAAGCCAAGAGGCCATTGAGCAGTGAATTGGTAAAGTGTAATTGGTTACAAAAAAAAGTCACGTTCAGTCGTCAGAAAAGGTGCGAGGATTTCGGCAAGGCACCGAAGTTCTCGCGCCTACAACTACTTATGAAGACATGCTCCTCCCTCTCCTCACAGACCACCCACATCTGCCCACCAAACACAACCAACATTATGTGCTCATGCATTGGGAGATACGCCTTATCCTTCACGATAGTACAGATGCGTAAGCTACGAGGCAGGAAAACGATCATTATGTTATCATAATATTGTTGTGACGGTCGTTATTCCTAGGTGTCTGACATCAATAGCTACTAGATAATGTTTGCTGGACCAGAAATGAGATTTTGGAGGTGTGCGAACCAGCTCATGGGTCTATACTTGCATGTGTGTGACATAAGACTAGAGAATGAATTAAGTACTCCAAACAACCTACTAATTGAATATTATTCATCCATGCTACTTTATTTCTTTTAAGACGAGGCCTAAGTAAATATTTTGGACAACCAATGATACCATTAGCAACAAATTGCCTACTCAGACAACTTCTCTATTTGGGGTCGGTGATAGTGTATTGAATATAAATTTAAAATTTTAATTTAGTATAAAAATAAAAGTATTTTAATAAAATATAAAAAATAAATTAAAATAGTTTTGGTGTATTCATCCACCAATTTTAAGAAAAAGTAAAAAAAAAAAAAGAAAAAAGAAAAACGCATTAAACTTTCCAATTTCAACGGGATTTTGAGTCTCCCACAAATTTAAACCCAATTCATGCAGAAAAAAAAATAAAGAAGTGAATAAATCTTCAAAAAATCATAAATTGTAAATAAATTTCGTTTTTTTAGGTTTATTAATTCCATTAAAAATTTGTGAAGGTAAATGAGTTATTTTTATTTTTTCGATTTGGATTGAGTTGTGTTTTTGAAAAATTGAACAAATGGTGGGTTCGGAGTTGACATTTTTTTTTGTTGGGTCAACTTAATTTACTCGACCAATTACGGTTAATAGAATTAGAATGCAATGGATGAAAGTGAAAAATGAAAAGAGTAAAAAAAAGGTGATGGATTTGATGAAAAGAATTGAAGTATGAAGGTGGATGGAATGAGAGGGAAGGAGGAGGAGGTGGAGGAGCGTGTACCCATTTTTACTGTAAAGAAACAGAGAAAAGTCACTGTTTCACGTCTTGTCATTTACCACATGCTTCACTCAGACCAAAATCAAAATCAAAATCAAAATCAAACCTCTCCTCCCTCTTTCACAAAATTCTGAATTACAAAGCAATTGATATGGAAGAAACGTAGGCCATTTTGTTTAGGGTTTTCCTCGAGGATCTTCCGGACATCCATTACATTTCTCTCTCTCTCTTCTCTTTATAATGTCCCATTACTCCTCTCCTCTCATCTCTCCGCCGTCTCTTTCTCTCTCCCTATGCCTTCTTAAACCCTAATCCCTCTCTCTCTCTCTCTCTCTCACGTTTAAAAAAAAAAAAAAGAAATGGTGGGTTAATTCTGTTCTCTCTCTGTCTCTCTGTTCCTCGCAAGAATTGGTTCTAAATTGCTCTGTTCTTGTTTTTTAATTGTCCTCAGTACACGGTACCCATCTGGCTGCAACCGCTTCTGAGCGAGAAATTCTTCAACGCCTGTGTGGTTCATGAAGATGCCAAAAAGAACGAGAAAAACATCTTCTGTTTCGACTGTTCCCTCGGTATCTGCCCGCACTGCTTGTCCTCTCACCGCTCTCACAAACTCCTCCAGGTACAATAATTCACAATCCCCAACTCTTTCAGCAACCCCTTTTCTCCACAACTCTGTTCAATTCCGCTGTGTTTCCTTTTCAGATTAGGCGATATGTTTATCACGATGTCATTAGATTGGACGATGCTGTGAAGCTAATTGACTGTGCTTTTGTTCAAGTAAGTAAACCCTTAATTAATTCTCACCATGGTTTTGCTTGCAACACACACCAAAAATGTTGATGGGGGTTTTTGTTATTAATAGTCGTACACTACGAATAGTGCGAAAGTGGTGTTTCTGAAACAGAGGCCACAAACCAGAAACTTCAGAGGCTCCTCCGGCAACCTCTGTAGTACCTGCGATAGAAGCCTTCAAGACCCTTATCTCTTTTGCTCCCTCTCTTGCAAGGTTCGATTCGGTTTCTGTTTTTTTTCTCTTCATTTTTTGCTTCTTGTTCTTGTGTTCTAAACTGGGTTTTTGTTTCTTTTCCTTGTCTTGGGTTTCGTTATGTAGATTGATTATCTTGTAAAGGCGCAAGGTGGGGTTTCCAGGCATCTTTTGGAGTGCAATTTCTTGCCATTACCCGAACCGGTTTGGGACGACGGAATGATTATGACGCCTGACTCTGTTCTGGAACCGGCCGGTTCGACCCGAACCTCTTCCAGTTCCGACGGCGGTAGAGTGTTGGAGATGAGGACTACTATTGCTTCGACGGCGACCACGGACTTTGTGAAGAAAAAGAGAAGTAGCTTGACGGCTGCTGCGGCGGCGTATCGGACAACGTGCCGGCCGGCTTGCTGTTCGGTGACGGTTTCCGAGACGTCTGGGAGTCTGATGAGCCGGAGAAAAAGTACCCCGCAGCGGGCCCCACTCTATTGAATTTTCATTTTCTATTTATTTTTCAAGTGTAGTACTGTAGTGGGCAGTATGTAAGGGGGGAGGTTTTTTTAGGGACAGAGATGTCATTTTGTGGTTTCTCATGGGGGTGTTTTGGGAATATATGAAGAATTAAATAGAATGAAAAAAAAAAAAAAAAAAAAAATCTCCCAATTTTTTGTTGATAGAGAGAATATTTTGAGGATCTGACTATGTTTTAATTACTACAACAATATTCACATTCAAAATCTTTCATTTTAATTTAATTAGATTAAGTTATTATTAGAAAATATATAAATATTATGACGTGGCATGTTGGAATTTGTTTTTTTTTTAATTGAATTCTCAATTTTAAAATTATTATTTTTTACTATTTATCTTTTTACCATTTCTCCTTTCTCTTTTAACCTTTCTTTTCTGTTTTTGAAATTTCTCTAAATTGATAAAAAAAAAAATGTTAAAACCCATAAATGTTTTTTTAATACTTATATTAAAAATGGTTACCTAAATTGTGACATTTTTAAAAATTAAAATAAAGTTAGATGAAGCTGCACTATGGAAGAAGAAGAAAATTTTGTCATATTTGTGAGTTCGATTCACGTCCCTTACCAAAGGTTTTGGATTTTATTCGTGATTTTTGGCCAAATCGATATTTCGTTTTGTCTCTCGCACATGATTTGTTTGCCATATTTGCGAGAATAGTGAACCGTGTAAGTGTGAGTCTTTTATCCGTCGTCTTTTTATATTATTTTAAAATTGTGAATTTTTTTTTAAACATAAATTTAAAAAAATTTGAGTAAAGAATTAATTAGAAACAAATACAGCTTAAATAGAAATAAAATAAAAATGTAAAGATAAAAAAAAAAAAATGGTATTTGTTAAAAGGAATTTCATTATTTTGAAATTATCTGGCAAAGACTTTGATTGAAGAAAACGTAATTACATGGGGAATGAAATTGAAAATTTGGGAAAAAAATTAAAGGCGAAATTAAAAATGAAGAAGAATCCAAATTTAGTTATTCTTAGTTCTCACCTATTTGAAAAAACATAATTAATTTATATAATTTGGCAAGAAGGTGAAGGTAAAAACGGACGAGTGGTGGTAATTTAATTTTACTGAGAACCGCGCTATTATTATGTTGTTACTTTATTTTTAATTGTAGGCTTTGAATGATTGGTAGGTTAAAATCTACAGAATAATCACTCATTGACGTGTTCAACAATTACAGGTAGGAATGTTGTTTGGATTTTTCTTCAAAATCAAATCTTCCTACAAATTTTGTATTTTCTTTATTAAATAATATTCCCTTTTATCACCATTTTTTTAAAAAAAAAAATAATATCCATATTTTCTAATGTAATTTTAAACTACTCGAACAAGCGCCTCCACCTCTCACCGGCACCAGAGGTGCAACTTTAGACCTAATTGTAATTATGAACAACTAGTTAATATCCATGAATTATACTTATCTAAGCGTGCATGCGTGTGCAACTTTAGTTCTGTTGTAGTTGAACGGAGAATGAAAATTAATTAATTAAAGAATTTAAAAACCTGCCAAAACTAACGTAGGTTTGTTTGACCTTTATTTTTGTTCAAGTATAAATAAAATCAAAGTCGATTCTAATTATGACTGGAACATAAAAACAAGGCAGGTTGAAACATTGTGAAAGAAAATTCTCAAAGGATTGAAGAGAGAGATCTTGAGAGAATTCTTCGGAGAGGAAAAATGTTATTGAATGTTTTAATACCAATATATATAACCTATAACTTCGTACTCTAGTATAACATCAATTATAACTATACAAAAATGCTATAAAAAGTCTATGATAACATTTTTTCGTGAACTGTCGTATTCATTATTTCTTGTAGTACAAGAATGCGATGAGAGCTTACAAGTAGTTGCTTTGTGAGTATTTTTTATAATCACCCATTTCCCCTTTTATTTTTCGGGTGTTTGCAGACTGCTGGTCTAGGTGGGAAAGCTTTCAAAAGCTGCGCGGTCACAAAGGAAGTCGTTTTGGAGCATCAATCCATTTTTGCATTTGAGTTTTTTTATATTTCAATTTGTAATTGTATCTCAAACCCATTTTCCCCTTTGTAATATATTTGGACAATATCAGGTTATAATTAAATTTTATTTTGTATTTTACCACAATATTATCACTCGCCCAATACAGTCAGTCCAATAATTGTAGGAGGGTGTTGTATATTTATTTAGTAGATATTTTAGAATAAAGATACGCAGTGATTTTAGGAAAGAAATTTAGATATTTTAGAAAAAAAAGATTTAGATTTATTAGGGGTAGATTGCGGCTCTAAACAAAGATACAAGACACTTTGAAGATGTTTAGGTTTTCATCTCAAGAAATACAAAAAAAGAGTAGTATTCTAAGAAGTGTCTTGTACAGTATTCTAGAAAGTGTCTTGTAATATCTTCTCGATTGATGTTAAGAAAGAGTTAAGAAGGAGTGCGAGTGTTTCCCACAGAGAGTTGTGTTCAATAATCTAGGGCGAGAGTCATGCTCTAAACTTAGCCATGACAATAGAATCCTCAAATATCAAACAAAGAATTGTGAACCTCGAAAGTATAGTCAAAAGTGACTAAAGTGTCGAACAAATAGTGTACTTTGTTCGAGGGCTTCAGAGAAAGAAGTCGAGCCTCGATTAAGGGGAGGCCCTTAAGGCTTGTAGTGTACTTTGTTCGAGAGGAGAATTGTTGATGATTATTGAGAAGGGAGTCCCAGGTTGATTAATTTAGTGGAAGATCCTGAGTTTATGAGTAAAATAATTTGACATTTTTAAAAATAAAATGATTTAGAAAAACATACAGCTATTATTTTGAAATTATGCAAAACAAGGAGCATTCAATTCCCCTCTTTCTCTCTTTTGACTCTCAAAAGCAATATCATGAAAACCAGTTCCCTGTGTAGTTACTTTCGAAATTTCTGGGGTTCTTCCTTTTGTTTTTCTCAATTTTTAGATCCATGATACTTTTCTCATTATTTTGATATAGTGTTTTGGTAGAATTTGATATCTGCTAAGATCAGGGTCGACAAAAATGAATTCTGGGGATTATATCAATATTCAACCCTCCGAGCTCAAATTCGCATGTGAGTATAACCTTTCCACTTTTCCCCCTTCTTGTTTCTTCCCTACTTTCGACTTTGGTTCTCTCCAAAATTTTCTCAAAAGGGTCAATGCTTTCCCAACTGTTGCACTTGGAGAATTGATGAATCTTTGGTGGGAACTTTTCATTTTCGCCGATTATGCTTTCGATTTTTTGTTTCCTTTATTGCTCTATTTTTACTCTTCTTTTGTTTCTGATCATCATGGTTCCACTTGTTTGGGCTTTGAATTTGTGAAACATTAGGATGTTGACTGACGGAGGAGTGACCGTAAAGGTCCAGTTGAGAGGTCAAGGGGTATCTAACTTAAGAATGTTTATCTATTAAGGTTTAAGAAGTTACTTGTGGGAGTTGCGTTGTTCTTCATCACGAATTGCAAATATCAGGTTGAATTGATTGTAGGAGTTCAATTAATTTTTGGGTTTATGGATAGTTTCTGCTTGCTTCTTTGAAATCTGGCCCTATATTTCACTATGATATCTCGAATACTTGAAGCTTGGTAATGATTGCCATTTCATCAAATTCTGATTTATGGATATCTGTGCCGCACTTTTATTTGTTTGTTATTGTATTTTTTACTTCTGTAGTTTGTGAAACTTCACTTATGTGTGTTCGTTATATTATGGAAAAGTTGAATTGAAGAAGCAAAGTTCTTGTTCCTTGCAATTGACCAACAAAACGGACAAATATGTTGCCTTCAAGGTATGTCTTTTTTGTTCATTCTTGGTACGTTAGTTTCGTTTCATTTTGATGGGTACGAATTGACAATGTGTACATTTCCGAACTCTATCATCCTAATTTAATAGGTTAAAACCACCAATCCCAAGAAGTATTGTGTTCGTCCTAATGCTGGAATCATTTTGCCCAGTAGTGCAAGCAATATTACAGGTAAATCAGTATGTGAAAGTAGTTGATTCGTTTTTCTCTTTCTATTTAAAATTATGAGTTACACCTTGATTTTTCTTCATTGTGTCTACTGGATTGGCCTGTATATTTTTCATGTAGTTGGTCTCTACTTTTGAGTTATGGATATTTGATATGTTATTTGTCTTTTTAGTTACGATGCAAGGTCCAAAGGAGGCGCCTCCTGACATGCAGTGCAAGGATAAATTCTTGATTCAAAGTGTTGTAGCACCCGATGGTACAACATCGAAGGACATTAGTGCAGAATTGGTGGGAATCTCTTGTTTATGCGTTTATTAGTTATGTAATTTTTTTTTTCTTATCTATAATGATCTTACATTTTTTTGTTTATGTTTTGCATCTATGAAATTGTAGTTTAACAAGGGAGATGGTAAAGTAGTAGATGAGTTTAAGATGAGGGTTGTTTACTCTTTTGCGAATCCACCATCGCCTGTTCCAGAAGGATCTGAAGAAGGATCTCCTCCAAGAACCGCTGCAGTTGATGACGGAAACCAAAATTTTGCGTTGTTTGATGCTGTAAATGTTTTCCAAGTTTCTTTTGTAGTTTTTTACTCTTGTCCTTTCTTTTCCACCCATCATTGGAGATGAAGCAGATGCTTTTGCTTATTTTATTGCAATTGTTGTTCATTAGGTTTCAAGATCTCTGGAGGATCCTAAAGAGAAGTCATCACAGGTAAGATGTTCTTCTCTTGCTTCTATATAGACACCTAAGTGTTTCATCTTCTTTATGACTTTTATAAACTCTTTGCTCCCTCTTTCATTGTCTTTTCTTTCACTGCACACACTTCTCAAACTTTGTTGTAACATGAATATTTTTTCTGACTGTACAGAAAGTCCTCTTTTCAATGTTTTAGTGTTCCATTTTAAAGTTTTTTCAATGTTGCTTGCCAGTGAAGAGCCTGTACCAAATGCATGGGAATGTGAATGAGAATGAAATATGGAGGAAGATTATTTTCTTAGTAACTACTCTATTAACTCAAGTTGAATGTAGAAAAGAAAGAACAATAAGATATCCTCCTAAAAAGTCCAATGCAAGTATAAACTACTTGCACTAGAATTAAAGAAAAAATTAGGTGACTACTAACTACAATTTTTTACCGGTAGCAGCAAAACTATATAGGTGAGAAGAGATCTGGTCCCTCAGCCTCCTATATTTTCCCTTTCTCTGTCTTCAAAGAAAACCTTGAGTTTCTTTCTTTCTAAATATTCCAAAAGATAGGCAAAGAAACTACTAACTTAAAAAAATTGATAGGCTTTGTGTGACCATGTCTATCAGCAAGGTTGGAGCGGCACCAAGAGAAGTTGAAATCTTATTTTTTCTTTTAAAAAATTGTAACAGTAGAGGAAAAGAGGTAGACATTAAAGAGAGATTGGTTGTTTTCTCTGACATTTTTTAGAAGCATACACCACTAAGATCTTAGACACAAATGCTTGGATTCTTTTGAATTCTAATTTATATTTAAGGCATTTACCTTTCTTTGGCTAGCACAACCAGGCAAACATGTACATGTTTTTAAAGGCCTGAGGGACTTACATGTGAAAATGGGAATGATATTTCAGATGATGAAAAGTCGTTAGTCAAGAATTGAGGTATGAGAGGACTTTTTCAACTTCTAGAATTTGTGATCCATATATTTAGGAGGAAAATAGCAACTTTAATAGATGTAGTCACCATTCTTTTGTCATTTGATTGTTGGGATTTTTTCCAAGTTCAAGACAGGAAGAGCAACCTTCCAAACAATGTAAGATTAACTTTTTAATGGTGATGGGTTTGGGTGGGGCCATCAGTCATGACTTTATGATTTTTTGTTTTTTGAGAAGTGCTGTGTCGCCGGAAGCTGCCCTGTCTTATTTGTTTGTGTGTTTTTTTCCTTCCCTTCTTAATTAATGCAAGGTATAGGATGGGTGTAAATTTGAATTGATTGATGGGATATTAGCTGTTATATTACACATTTGGGAGCTGTACCTGGAAGGGGCTGGTCAATGTGTTTCTGGATAAGTGGATGCTGAAAACTTCTCATAGCATTTATTTTTTACTGTATTGTCTGTTGATTTTTCTACTTCATGATGAAAATATTGATGCAGACGTGGTCCGCAGTTTCTAAGTTGACTGAGGAGAAAGCTGCAGCTTTGCAACAGAATCAGAAACTACGCCAGGAACTGGTATTTCATTTAGGATTGAATGTTATTTTCTTTATCTTCAAGCTTAGCTATTCTACTTAGTCTAGTGCTTTGATCTCTTTCTATGATTGTGTTTGGGAGGAGATTTTGCCTGATTGTCATGGAATAAGGAATTGTGAGTATTTTTCTTTTTACAAGATATAAGTACATATTAAAGACAGCCCAAGAAAACGTTAGAGGGTTGTGTCTAAACATTGAAAATGTTGACAAATCTCAGCATGTTCTGAAATAAATGGGATGATAAGAAAAAGGAGTAAAAACTAAGTTGTTTCCATGCCCTTTCCTCTTGCATATCTATACAGTATACAATCTTATATTTTGGATTTAAAAATAGTTAAAGTTATTTAAATGAAACAATTTAGTTAAAATCTCATATTGGTCCATTAACTGTCAAGTTTGTTCTATTTTGGTATGAACTTTCTAATTTTCTCTTTGTAGTCCTTGCACTTCCACAATTACCATTTCAAATTGTCCATCTAAGTCCTTCAACATTAAAAAGAATAGCCGTTCAAGTCCTTGGTGTATTACTTCTCTGCCGAAAATTTCCTTTCCCAGTACTCATCTTCTACTTGCTCACATTAATATGCTAATATACATATTTAAAACTATGTTATGAATTTGTGTAAAGGAAAATAAAAGGACTAAAATGATTATTTTCTAAAGTTTAGGGGTGAAGACATTTCAAAAGTTAGGGATGAAAACAGAAAATTTGGAAGTTTAAGGACCAAAATAGGATTTAAACCTAACAATTTCTATGGATTTTGTTGTTTCCATGTCCTTTTCTCTTGCATGTCTATTTACATAGATAGGGACATTTACATTTTCATAAAAGATAACTTTGTGGCGTTCTTTTATGATGAAAGCTAGTCTTTATTCAAATAAAATCATAAAAACAAGTCAATATCTTGACATTTTTGCCTGTATCCAAGCTGACTTTTGGTTGTAACTAAAGAAAGAATTATGTTATCCCACTGTGTGATTTTTTCCCTTTTTAGAGAATGGAAGGAAGGGATCCTATGGGGAATTCTATTCCTTTTAGTTGCAAGAAGCCAATTATCTAAGCCAAATCCCACGCCTCTTCCCTCCCTACCCTTTGGCCTTACTTTCAAGAAAATTGGGTATTATGAAAAAGTAAGATAATGAGCCCTTCAAAAAGTTCAAAGATAGATTCAATGACTATGGTTGGTTCACTATTAATCATGCGAAGCTACCTTCACAAGTTTTTGGCTCATCGCTAGTAATTTTGTGCTGATCATTTTATTACCATTAAGATTGACAATGGTAGAAATACAAGCTTTTACTATCGTTGTTTTTTCCGAGGACAGAGCCCTAAAGTTTATTTTCCCTTGATGTTACGAAAGATTACGAAACACAAGCAAGGGTATTTAGCCCGTCTCGAATTGATGTTTCGTATTTACCAATAATTTTATCATATTTCAATCTAGTTACTAGCATTGCTTTTACTTTTAGCCTCTTAACGTAGAAAGCTCCATCTATATCCATTAAGTGTAGCATCTTTATGTCTTGTCTCTCTTTTTGATGAGTGTCTGGTATTGCACAAATCAGCTAATGTTCCTTTGATCTCGTCACTTGACCAAGTTATAGTTTTTTTAAAGATATATATATTTTTTCTTTTGGCAGGAACTTTTGAGGAAAGAATCAAGCGGAAGGCAGGGTGGCGGTTTCTCTGTATTGCTTGTGGTGCTCGTTGGTCTCATCGGAGTTCTGATCGGATACCTGTTAAAGAAAACATAGACAACTTAGGCATTCCCTATCGTTTGCTTGCTGCACTTTGATGTTATTATCTGTGTTGTGTTTTGTCCAGAATTTAACAACCTTAATTGGTTGAATTCTTAGTGAGTCAAAACTGAAGACAGATTTGTTATGTCAAAATCAACATCGACCCTGGATAGTTGTTTTCAGAAGAATACTTTTTGTTGGATTTATTTTTGTTGCTTGTTTGCCCTCTCAGTGTTCATCCATCTCGTTTCCATTTGGATTTTGGTTTGTTCAAGGTGTACGTAAAAGCCATGCCTTTTGAACAATGAATACAACAATGATTTGAGTACAAAATCCATCACAATAAAGCAATCACAAGAACCATGGCTACAAACAAAGATCAGAAGATATCATTTTTGATGGTCGCCCTCGCCCTCGCCCTCGCCATCAGTTTTCCCTGCAATGGGCTTTCGATAATTTTTCTCGACATGTGTTGCCATCGAGTAGCCAGAATCTGCAAGCTTTTTGACATTGGGAATGTTGTAATTCTGAGCAGCATAGGCACCAAAAAGAGCTCCCAACATGAATGAAAAAGAGATTCTCATCAATCCCATTTCTTATCAATCTCCCAAATGTAACACAAACAAACAGACACAGATATGGAGCCGATTTATATGTTCCATTTCTTCAACTTTTCTTATTGCCCAAGCCAGAAGATTTGATTGATTCAAAGTTGTGAGGATAAACTTTGAAATTCATATTTAAAAATTTTAAATTTTATATATCTTTAGTTTATTGAAAAGTCTAAATTATTTTAAATACGGCTACATCAACCATTCGTAATTAAATAAAATAAAATTGGGATTGAGATTCATTGTTCAAGTTCTGAAGTTAACATCGGAGGAAACTACTCATATACTTATCTAATATGGAAAGGAGTAAATTCTATCTTAAATTATGTTCCATCTCCCAATTTGGAATTAGCTAAAAAAAAAAAAAAAAAACTAAACCGACCAAATTGGTCTAGGTCTAAACCGGTCCAACTAGACCAATTGGTCAAATTGAACCGGTCAACGATCGAACTGAAGTTGTCAAATGGGTTCAATTGAATTGGTTGGTCTTCAAAGTTCAACTAATCACCCATGCAGTTATTTCTGTGTTGGTGTCGTGGTTGCTACAATAGTGTTTTTTGCGGTGCCTCTCAACGGCCAAACATACCTCATAATGATGAAGTAATGAGTGGCAGTGAAATGACGGCCGACAGTGTAGCATTTCTTTGAAATTAGAGGTTAAGACTACATTTTCAACCTCAAATCAAGCAAAGAATCTCTGATTCAGTTGATGATAAGTCTTAGAGATGAAATGGGAAGATTGAGAGGAATCAATGTGATTTAAGTGGAAAAACACAATAAAGCTCAGATTTGAAAGAATCCTTCCACAAGGGTTTCACTCTTGCGATAGCGGGAGAGCAATTGTGCGACACTTGTTCTAGCCTAGTGAACAAGTGAGTCTGAGAAATTTAGATTTTGCAGACAACATCAACGTATGCTCGAACCTGGAGTCATGTTTGTGATCAATGTTTTAGAAACGGTGAGTGACTATATACATTTGAAAACAATTCGAAAACAATTTGACGAAGGGAAGAAAGCAAAATTATTGATTATAAGCAAATAAAGGAACAACATGGCTTGAATAGTATATAGTGACAACTAGTCTATCCCCCTACACTACATATTGGGGCATTTTAGTCGTGGCGGGTGTAGTTAAGATTTTGGTATACGGTTATCATACACTCTCATATTGACACAACGTGAAATAGTAAAAACCTATATAAGATGAAAGCATGTTTAAAGGGTTTGGTACGGGCATGCGGCCATGGACAATATGTCTTGGACAAGCATGACCAAGACATCTGACATGCGGCCATATGCAACATGGCTTGGACAAGCATTATCATGACATCTAACATGCGGCCATATGCAACATGGCTTGGACATCATGATATCCTCCCCACTCAATTGGTTGACTTCTCTGTCACCTGACTCTTCGCAAACTCAGCGATGTGAGTTGAGGCTGACTTCAGGTCTCTCGACGTGCTTCCAGCTGATTTCAACATTGAGGAGTATCTTCCACTCTGCAAGGAACTGTTGGAAACTATTTATCGGTTCGTTGACACTTGGTGTCTTCTCTGTCAGAGTCTCTACTACTTTCTTCGCTTGAAAATTCTTCTTCTTTGTGTGAGGTCGTGTTGTCTCTTTGTGCTTGATGTCTTCTTGATTGGTATTGTAACGTTTCAAGTTATTAACGTGGACAAGAGGGCTAATCTGCATCCATGGGAGCAATTGGATCCTATATGATGTCTTTCCGACCTTGTGAATAACTTCGAAGGTCCATAGTATTTTCGCACCAGTCTTTGACTATTGTTGCTTTGATCTTGAAGTTGATCTGACCTCAACTTGATCAGAACTCTCTTCCCATCTTGAAATTGTCGTGGTCGACGTTTTTGACCAACCCTTCTCTTCATCTGTCTGGATGGTACTTCTGGGTGAACATGTGTTGTTTTAAAGGATTGTCTCTGTCTCCCTGTTGGCTTGGTGTTTCTCCCTAGCCCTTAGGTGGTCATTTAGGGCAGGCTTTATGGGTCTAATTGTCCCGACTATTAGCAAGTCATTTAGCTATTTGTAGAATTCAACTAGCTCAAGGTTGAACTGTATGACATTCATTTGTTGTAGGCAATCTCGCCCTCCATATAACATCAATCTCATTATTTATCTACCTAGGTGAAGATAAATACTTTGTCTGACTTCCTTGTTTCACATCGCAATGTTTTTGAATCAACCGTAAAGCTTGTGTTGGGGTTGGCTCGCTCGAGCTTCCTTCTTTAAATATGGTAGTGGTAGTGAGCATAGGTTCATCATGACTAATATCCTTTCTCAACCGTAGTGCTGACATCATTTTCACTCCTAGTTAAGGTGTTTGTCTGGATATCGTCAGGTTGGACCCCATTACTACTAAGCTTTTAGCTAGTGGCATGAAAATGACTTTGTTATAGTAGGAAATTCATCCTAACACGATGTCGAAGTCATCCATCTTGACTATCACAAAGCCAGTTCGTCTAGTCCAAGCCCCCAGCTTGATGGGAGTTCTCTTTGCAACTCTTAGGACGGGTAAAACTGTCTTGATGGTCAAGCATTTTGTTTCGTTCTCCATCATGAAGTGGTGAAATGAAGTGGTGAAACGAGTATGCAATCATGAACAACATGTCTCGGACAAACATGATCGAGATATCTGACATGGAGCCTAAATATTATATATATATATATATGTGTGTGTGGAGATTGAGAATAGGAGAATTATGGGTATGTGTTGGTTAATTTGTTTATATAACTTTTTGACCAATTCCTACTCACCGCAACTTTCCGGGAAGGCAGAGCAATCCACCACCCTATTTTGACCAACTTTCTCTGACACCAAACAGATACCTTTCCTGGAAAATTTCAAATCATTATCATTCTTTTTCTCTTTTCTTTTCTTTTTTATTTAAACTTTTCTGTTTTCATTTACTTCGCATATCTTTTTAGGTTAATTATAGTTTCTATTATCAAATTTGAATCTCCTTTTAATTTCATCTGAATTTGATCTCAAATTATTGAATTTACTGGTTTTATAATCAAATTTTATCTCAAAACCAAAATCTTTTTTTAAACTTCAAAACTCAAATAAAACTCAATTATCAAAGAGAAAAAATAAAATGAAATAAAAGATAAAAATCTCATAAATTATAAATTAGAATATTTATATATATTGTCTATGCCTTTATTATTGTCCGTACATAAGACTCTTACCTTTTACCCGTAAAAATGTTAAAACCTAAGATGAGAAATACTCATTTAGTAACACCATCATTGGACACTACTTTCTTTTTTTCACGTAGGTTGGATGCATAATAATTTTTATACACGGTCCACCCATATGTATGTGGATCCACTACGTGGTATTATTAGTGTACCTCATATGCTTGACTATATATAGGCTAGCGCACCACCAACAAAAATGAAAGGAAAGCAAATAATAATGTGGTGTATAAATCTATGAGAAGTAATCCATAATCATATGAGATACAACATGCATGAAATCTTGCATTAAAAATCATGGTTCAATGAAATGATATACAAAATACTTCCATACTTGTGATCATATCAACATGACAATTACAAACAAACGTAAAGAAAAGTATATGCATCATATAGTTAATTCAAATATCATGACGTAAATAAGACCACATGATACGTGTTATTCATGCATCAAACAATTTCATCCAATCCAAACTTTTGACGTTCTCTTACAATTTCAGATCTAATTTGATGCTCCTAAGCTCATTCTAATAAGTTAGGTTCACTTATGAATTTTATTGGAACCAGCTTAGAGTCCAACCTAACTTAATTATCCTAAAATTAGTCGTATTATAAAACTTTTAAAAAAACATGAGGTGACGAATGAAAATGAATATTATATAACTTTTTTTGTAATAAAAATCCCATAGTTGCACACCCAAATGAGAGCATCACTACTACTACTAAATGAAATTCATAATATTACACAAAATGTATTCTTATTAAAACTAAAATAAAGAAGGTTAAGATAAAAGCTACCTACACAATACACATATTAATATCATTAAATTCGTTGTCTAATATGGGCGTTGGTTAAGGCACTCCAACGACATCTTCGCCGGAGACACTGCCACGGTCACCGACCACGCCGACTGTTCGGTTGAAGAAGTAGTAGTAGTAGTAGTTTGAAGGCGCTGCGTCTTGGGGCTTCCTTGATTGGAAATTTGTTGTGTCTTCCGCCGTCGACGGTTGTGATCCGCCAACCTCTTCCGACAACTCCGTTTTCCGTTATCAAACTCGGCCAGCACATGAAACCTGTAACAAACCCTCCACCATCCATTTTTCAATATTATCATACACATAATATACATAGTTTTTCATGTATATTATTATTACAATAATGGACGTGGGCCCCGCTTCTAACCTTTGACTTTGACCTATGTTTGGTTCTTCATTCCAAACACACACATTTTATTAAACCAAAAATAAAATCGGGGTACGAAAATGCCCTCCGGGTTTCTTTTTTTCTTTGTACGGAAGGCCAATCATTATTTTGGTATCGCGAGGGTATTTTCGGTATTTTGGGCACATGTGCAGCTATCTCTGGAAAGTGGCTCTAGGTCTTTTGTGAAGGGGGGCAAGTCTAGAGCCACCGTCAAACCTGAAAACTACAGGAATTTTTTCCTACGGACGGAATTACCCTCGGGATTTACTCCACAATACGGCCAACCAATGATTGACCTCTAACAAGGGTATTCATGTCATTTTACACACTTGACTCACTAAGTTGGGTGAAATATTTAAGTAGTTGGAAGCCTAGGTACTATAATGAAAGATTAATTCAACTAATTTTAATGTCGGAGTAGCTACACATTAAAGCTCCGTGTACTATTTCATCTCGGTTTAATTCGGACGTATTTCGATAACATAATTTTTAATTAACCAAACGATCATAACGCTAAATGTTTACGGAGAGATTTTGAAATGACAGACTACGAGGGTAGTTTAGGAATTTTAGAAGGAAGGGGGAACGAACCTGCTGCATTGCTGACAGAACCTCTGAGTCAACCCGGCGGTGATGACGGTGGAAGCTTTAGAATGAAACTCACAAACTTTATGCCGTCGGTGGTATTGTTTGGCTTGGCTCAGATCCGCATTACACCCCTCCGCTTGGCACCGAGCCGACCAGTTCCCCGAACCCGGTTCGCCACCGGTTCTCGCTCTCCGGTACAATTGATTCACGAACTCCTCCTCCTCAGACGAGAAATAGGTTCTCCCCCCTAAATTTAGCCCTATCCTCGCCGCGAAATCTACAGGAACCGCCGTTATACTCCGACAAACCTCCTCACTCTTGGGCACCACCACAAACTCCTCCCCTCCGACACCTCCGCCATGGACGGCGTCGGCCACAGTATCGTAATGATGAGAAGGACCCATTATGAAGCTATGTGGGTGGTCGTCGAACCCGCCGAAGTGGGTAGTGAACGGCGGCGGAGTCAGAGTCGGGAAGAAAGTGTTGTGGTGGTGATGGTCGATGAAAGTGGGTAAATGGTGAGAGTGAGGCGCTTCCGGGTTGAAAGCGGGTTCGGATTCGTCGCCGGGGAGAAGAATCGGCGGCGCGTTCGTTGATCCCCATTCATATTCCAACATTTTCTTTTAAAATTTCGAGGCAAAGTACCTGCAATGTCGGAGAAAATTTATAAAAAAAAAAAAAAAAAAAAAAACGCATAATTTTCACATAAAAAATCACTTCCCTTATTTTAATAACAATAAAAATTAAAATTAACAAATTTCTCACTCTCACCAATGGCTGAAGCAGAGGGGAAGAACAAAAATTCAGATCCAAAAAAAAAAAAAAAAAAAAAAAAAAAC